CTGTGCCGAACATTCAGGTCTCAGAGAGATTCAGACCCCTCACTGACATGAAACAAGATGCTCATCCCATCCGTGGACCATGTGACCCACGGAAAACCCCAAAACAACGACATGGATTCCTGTTGAAATTCCATCTCAGGACAGGGGCTGAAATCCAATTACCGCCTGCAGAGGAGAGTGGCGAAGAATGAGATTCGAGATGTTACTGCCGGATACTTTGATGGCGACCAGTTGCATCAGACTTGACATTATGGGTAAAAATTTAAGCCTGACCCAGAAAAGGCTGGGTTCTTACTGGTAGTGCTTAAACTTGGGGGCACAGGATGTGCTTGTAATTATTCGGGTTTCACTCCAGCAATGTTCCAGGTATAAATCAGTGCTAACTGAAACATACCTCTATATCGAAGGACCTCCAAGTCCCTTAAGAGCTGGAGGAGACGCCTTGTTAGCATTTAGTTGGCTGGGTCGCTGGCTGGCAGGGTTACTTTGTAATGCTTACAGGCAGATGCTGATGAGGTTGCTTGGAAGCCCACTATAAAAGGTGTGGGAGCAACATGAAGCTCATGCAGGCACTGAGGGCTGTCTCAGGGTTAAGAATGACAGGCATTCAGCATGCGACGCGGTTCAGATTAATAATGCATCCGTGCAATACGGCTAGAGGCCCGACATGCGATGCAGGGGTGACCCCCCCTGGGGGCTGCATTTAACGGCAGTGTATGGAACACGCAGCAAGATATGAGTGAAAGACAGCCAAAGGCCAAAGACACTGGACAGGGGCCGCCTTGGCGAGAGCAGGGCCTCCAGTGACCTGAAGGGAAAATGCTGGTGCGGGGGGGAGGAAACAGAGAACATGCAGTGTTATCATTTTATGGCCTTGAGGGCAGACTGGGAGGGAGGGGCGCTAAGAACACGGTGACAGCCAATCACAAATCCACATTCTTTGTTTGAGATTGCACATGGTGTGAGTTCTTGTAAAAGAAAATGGGAAAATGTACATGATGGTACATAGAGAGCCCTTCAAATTACACAACATAGTAATGAAGCGAGCTGGTTTACGCTCATAAAAAGCTCAGGAAATGCTAATAGTGCGTGTTGATGTTAACAAGAGGTGTTGCTATGTCATTGAGCACCTGGCTGTTGATGTCATGTCTGGCCGCCGCTGACTCGGGGGCGGGGGGGGGGGGGGGGGTGGGCCACGTCAACGCTGACAGCAACCCCAGCGGCCTCCGCGCATTCGGACCCGCATCCACCGGCGCGCCTCTGACTAATCCCGAACAGCTTTCCCGGGGAAGCAGTGTGGCCCGTTTATCCGCCATCCCCCCCCCCCACTCTCTCGAGATGCATCTCGACAGGCGCCCAGGGGGCCGCTTTTGTGAATTAACGGTAAATAAGGCTCACGCGGTCAGACAGGCTCTGCATCTCCAAGCAGGCGGAGAACACAGACAGCGGCGGTGATCTCAGGTCGGCCCTGCATGCGACGCAGCGCCGCGGGTCGTGTGGGCAGCCGCTGCCAAGCCCATTACGCTCCAGCCAGCTCAGAGACAGCATCCGCCCCTCCCCTGCTGTGTGGTCACGGGTGGGGGGGGGGGGGGGAGATAAAGCAGCATAAATGACACCCTGGGGGAAGCCATCCACGGGTCACGGTGCTATAAAAAGCCAGGAGAGACGGAGTGGGACTCGGGTGGGAACGGCCCTTCTAATTACCATGTTGATTTAGTGTCACCTCCCACCGCCATCATGCCTTGCAGCTTGACCTGAACATACAGCTCGTCCCCTGTGCACAGGGGGGGGGGGGCTGCTGTGACACTCACCTTGCCGATATGCAGGGCCGTCGAATGCTGCCACCCCCCTGGCATCTGCTAAATTATTCATCCGTTAAGAGAGGAATGGATGGAACAAAGACATAACCCCAACCCTCAAACCCCACCCCCGTCGCCGAGCTTGGGGGGCAGGTGGTGCCAGACAGGTGTGAAGGCACCCTGTTTGTGTGCATGCGTGTAATCTGCTCTGTGTGTGTCACAATAACTGCT